TCTAGACTAAACATTCCCAAGTCCCTCAGCCTTTCCTCATAGGCCTTGGTCTCCAGGTCAGTTCTCATCTATTCATTGTTTCTATCACATCATGGGTAAGGCCCAAACATAGAATCATAGAGTCGGAATGGACCTTGCAGGTCATCTAGTCCAACCCATTGCACTCTGCAGGAACATGATTTGGTTTCTCATATACCTATGAGATAAGTTAAGATGGGTAGCCGTGTCAGTCTGCCTGTAGCAGTAGAAAAGAGCAAGAGTCCAGTAGCACCTAAAAGACTAACAAAATTGGAGGCAGGGTAGAAGCTTGCGTGAGTCACTGCTCACTGCTTCAGATACAGCTAGGATGTGAGACCATCTGTCCGTTCCAATATAGAGTACAGATGGACTCCCATTCTAGCCGTACCGGAAGAAGTGAGCAGTGACTCACAAAAGCTGATTTCCTGCCACAAATGTTGTTAGTTTTTAAGGTGCTACTGGACTCTTGCTCTTTTTTCATGAAATAAGGGAAGCTCTCTACCAGCCAATCTTACGCGCAAATGTGTATACTTTTATTCTTTTCATGTATAGAAGATGATGAAAAAGAAGAGATTGGATTTAATCCCATCTCTTCTCTCTCTTCTTCTCTTCAAAAGGCAAGCCTAAGCGTGACTACTATAAAAGTTATCATGGAGCTTAACAACAGCTGCCAGAAATTTCGCCACACACAGAGTAGTTTATTTATCTTTGTCTCTGGGTAACCAGGACGATTTCTCTTCTGAGGAGAGAAAGTCCTGATTAAATAACCGGGAGATCAGTTCAGCTCTTAGATCTGAAAATTTGGGGCAGTTCAAAAGAATACGATCCACAGAATCGATTCTGTTGTTGCCACAGTTACAGAGTCTCTCTGAATGTGGAATCCCATTGAGTCTTCCTAACATCACCGCTAAAGGTAGGGCATTCAGGTGCGTAGACATGAATGCCCTGCAAAAAAAATGAACTTTGGAAGAAATTCTCCGGAGTTAAACTTCCTTTCGTAAGAACTTCTTCCAAACCTCAAAATCTCCTTCATAAAATACAACATACAACGTTATCTTCATATCTAGACAATGTACCACAATGAAGATGTAAAGAAGTTTTTCCTGAGATCCAGCTGGTACGTTTCCACCCTTAATTTAAACCCATTCTTGCAAGTCCTCTCCTCTGCTGCCAACAGGAACTGCTCCCTGCCCTCCTCCAAGTGACACCCCTTCCGATACGTCAAGAGAGAAATATAATAAATATAATAATCATGTCCCCCTTCAACTTCCTCTTCTCTAGACTAAACATTCCCAAGTCCCTCAGCCTTTCCTCATAGGCCTTGGTATCCAGGTCAGCTCTCATCTATTCATTGTTTCTATCACATCGTGGGTAAGGCCCAAACATAGAATCATAGAATGTTAGAGTCGGAAGGGACCTTGCAGGTCATCTAGTCCAACCCCCTGCACTCTGCAGGAACATGATTTGGTTTCTCATATACCTATGAGATAAGTTAAGATGGGTAGCCGTGTCAGTCTGCCTGTAGCAGTAGAAAAGAGCAAGAGTCCAGTAGCACCTAAAAGACTAACAAAATTGGAGGCAGGGTAGAAGCTTGCGTGAGTCACTGCTCACTGCTTCAGATACAGCTAGGATGTGAGACCATCTGTCCGTTCCAATATAGAGTACAGATGGACTCCCATTCTAGCCGTACCGGAAGAAGTGAGCAGTGACTCACAAAAGCTGATTTCCTGCCACAAATGTTGTTAGTCTTTAAGGTGCTACTGGACTCTGGCTCTTTTTTCATGAAATAAGGGAAGCTATCTACCAGGCAATCTTACGTGCAAATGTGTATACTTTTACTCTTTTCATGTATAGAAGATGATGAAGAAGAAGAGATTGGATTTATACCCTGCCCTTCACTACCTGAAGGAGTCTCAGAGTGGCTTACAATCCCTTTCCCTCCCCCTCCCCACAACAGACACCCTGTGAGGTAGGTGGGGCTGAGAGAGCTCTCCCAAGAACTGCTTTTGAGAGAACAGCTCTGAAAGACCTTACGAGTGACCCAAGGTCACACCAGCAGCTGCATGTGGAGGAGTGGGGAATCAAACACAGTTCTCCCAGACTGGAGTCTGAATCGCTACGCCAAACCGCCTCTCAAACTGACCAACAACATTTCGGGATTATTTAGGGTATTTGATGAAAGAAGCCTTGACTCTCGAAGCTTAATACTCCGAAAATGACATTGGTCTCTTAGGTACTACTGGAGTCAGATTAAAACATGGTGAAAGTCCCTATCCTGTGAGGGTGGAAACGTCTGTCAAGTCGCAGCTGTTTTATGGTGACCCCGTAGGATTTTCAAGGCAAGAGACATTCAGAGATGGTTTGCCCTTGCCTGCCTCTGCGCAGTAACCCTAGACTGCCTTGGTGGTCTCCCATCTGACTACTAACCTTACTTAGCTTCTGAGATCTGACAAGATAAGGCTTTTCAAAGGGGCTTAGATGAAAACCTTGGAAGCCGGGCATTTCAGCAGCTATTATCTGGGAAAGCTACATGGAGCCTCCATGTTCAGAGGCAGTATACCTTTGAACACCCAAGGCTGGAGTCAAATAATGAAGGAAGCCTGTCTCCTTCCTGAACTCTTAATGGGACTTCTGGAAACATCTCGCTGAGACCTGGAGGAAACAGTAGGGCAGGCTGGGTGACCTTTTGCTCTGGTCAAAGCAAAATCTTCCCTTGGTCCTTTTGTGCTTGATTTGGCACCCGGTTCCCATAAAGCGGGGTCGCCAACCTTTTTGAACCTGGGGGCACCTTTGGAATTCTGATCTAACGGGGGTGGGCGGAGCCACAAAACAGCTGCCACAAAATGCCCGCCGCAGGAGGCGGAGCCAGCCACAAAATGGCAGCGGCCGCAGCTCGCCTCCAGTCACACAGTGAAGATCCTTTTGCTGTGGAGGCAGAGTCTGCCCGAGCAACATATTTAAACATCTGCCCAGCCAATCAGAAGCCTTGCTGGAGAAAAGCCCACCTTGGCCCCGCTCACTTTATAAGCGCACTTTGCGGGCACCAGGAAAAGTGTTGGAGCGTGTCCCGTTGGGAACCCCTGCTGTAAGGCATCAGAGTTCCAGACTCCTACTACTAACGGAGATGGTTGTCCACGGGCCTTGTCTACGGGGGACATTTTGTACCTTAGCAATGGGGCGCCCAAGCATTGTGGTGTCCTTCAGACATAGCCGGAAAGGACCGGTGCCTACAATGTTGATGAAACGAAGTATCTCATGAATCACGGCGGTGGTGTATGGCAGTTTTTTCCGATCCTCGTAACAGACGGCTTGGGAAGGTTCCAGAACGGCATTGACTTCCTCGAGCACTTTTTCTAGGATTAAATAAGGCGTGTGAGAAACGGATATTTTAGAACTCTTGTTTTTACTGACCTGGCCCTAAATGGGGCTCGTTTTGGGGCAAGACATGTATTTGTTTATATATTTTATATGCATACCCAGGGGTCATTTCCTGCAGGAGCGCACAGGAGCGGAGCTCCGGCAGTAAAGAGCCCAGGGGGCGGGCACATGCAACAAGCCCCATCCCCTGCTCCCAGCAGCCCTCAGTCAGAGCAAGCAGCAGCCAGATAAGTTGCAGAGACACCCCCCCCACGGCCTCTCGGTCCAAAACAGTCCAGTGGCACCTTTAAGACCAAGTTTTATTCAGGTACAAGCTCTCCCTCCTCTGTGAGGACAGATCTGCACATCCTCCCCCCCCCCAAGAGCCAGCAATCCAAAACCGTCCAGTGGAGCCTGAGCGGTGGGTGTTGCCTTCTGACACACTTCCGGTGATGTAAGGGGGGTGCATCATATGCAAATAAGTTATGCTAATGAGTTATGCTAATGAGCTCCTGCACCTCTTTTTCTACGAAATGACGCCTGTGCATACCTACCTATCTACCAAGGACCTTAGAGACGGTGGGGCTATTTGGGACTCCGTCCCCTTTCTTAAAGGGACAGCCCCATAAGATTTTCCCTTAACCCCCCCTTTTAAAGACATATTAGAACATTTTTTAAAAAAGCGCATGTTGTGAGACATTTGTGTCCCAACACACCCCCTCTGGTTCGTGTTCCTCTGATTGTGTTTGCCTCCTTACCAAAGGCGGAAGGTGTAAAATTGGAAACGCTGAGCGCTGGCTAGAGACACTCCAAGCAAAGGTCTCTCTTCTTATATATTGTTTTTATTTAAAAGGCTCAGTATTCAGAGTTTACATGACAAGATGAAACAGCAAGGCGCTGAATCAACTTGCCACACAATACACTTCTATTTCAACATTGCCCCACAAGCCACAAACTCCTGCTTACGGGCCTGCTTGTTGGCATCATATTCTACGCCATATTCTATTAATCGTGGGGGGCATCTCATTTCCCCCACTATTTCATCTTTTCCTTTCCTTTTTTTTTTTTTTAAATCCCCGGAGGGAATTTTTTAAATTTTGCACATACTACAAAAACTACAAAGAAATATTAGGGAAGGGTCTACAACTAAGGATAAAGGAAAGCAAACCACACTAAACTAAAACCCCCAGAGGAGCAGACCTTTTCACTGTTAGTAAAAATGTTAGTACACTTCTTCTTCTTCTTCTTCTTCTTCTTCTTCTTCTTCTTCTTCTTCTTCTTCTTCTTCTTCTTCTTCTTCTTCTTCTTCTTCTTCTTCTTCTTCTTCTCTGCTCCCCCCCCCCACCTCAAGCCTACCCAGGGAGGGGAACACTGGCTGGGGGAAGGGAAGACCGATCAGGGAGGCACGCCTCCCCTCCGCTTCCGAAGCCGCACGATATGTGTGAAAGAGCCGCATGTGGCTCCTGAGCCGCAGTCGGGCCACCCCTGCTCTAACTGCTACACCACACTGGCTTCCATAGGGTGGCTGTGATAGCTGCAGGAACAGCAGCAAGCGGCCAGGGCTCCTTGAGTCATGCAAGTAGGGGGGTATCAAGCCACCCAGTGGGTGCTTCCGGTTTGCCAACCTCCCAGAATTACACCTGAAATCCAGAGGACAGACATTTGTCTCCCCTGGAGAAAACAACTGCTTTAGAGGATGGCGTTCTAGTCAGCTAAGGCCTCGCCCCGCCCCAAACCCTGCCCTCCTCAGACTCCACCACAAAATCTCCGGGCATTTCCCAACTTGGAGCTGGCAAACGTCGTCAGGCCCGGCCCTGTTAAGTCCTCCATCAAAGGCTAAAACAACCCTGGAAAGGACCCCTCCCCCTACCATTTACTGAAAAACAAATCAAGCCTAGAAACCCAGTTTTCGGGGCTTCTGCCCCCAAACAGCAACAAAACTGTGCAACGTTCCCAATGCGATGACATCTGATGTCATCACATCAGGGACGTCTCAAGGCGACGCTCTGGTTTTGGGGCAAAACTCTATGGTTTGAATCCGGTTTTACCACAGAGTTTTGCCCCCAAACCAGAGCGTCACCTTGAGACGTCCCTGATATCACTTCCGGGTGACATCATCATGTCGGGGACATCCCAGAACGTCTCCCAAATCCCCCTGCCAGCACAATGAGGGATCTGGCAACCCTACTGTAGTTGCCTAGCAACTGCCACTGAGGGCTTCTGTTTTTTAAAGCTACAGGCATTCCTTTTATTATTTTTGGGTTCTTTAAGCTGCCCATTTTTTTAAAAAAAAATTAGATTTCAGATTTTTCTGCAAACCTGGGGTTTGTCGAAAGATCTGTCTTGCCCGTTCGCAGCTCCAACTAGCGGATTTAAGTTTCCAAAGATTTGGCTGACTTTGATAAAAGAATAGAAGATGTACACCTAGTCTTAACACATTTGATGTGGACCCTATTCACAGTACCCCATGCTGAGAAGTTGTGCATTTGCACTCATGTTTTGAACATGCACAGCCTCACTCACTGCTTCGGGAATGCACGTGCATTCTTGCGACAGGTGTCGTCTGGATCAGGCACATGATTTTGGCTCAACGAATGTGCATGCAAACATTATCAATAGGCATTGCATTATTAATTATTATTAATATAATTAATAGACATAATAGACATGATATAATTAATAGACGTTATTAATAGACGTTTACGCACCTTGAACCTCTGGGTGTTTTATCATTAAGAGCAGTGCTCCAGACAGGAGGGAAGCCGTGTTCTCGGACCCGCCAATTAAAAGGTCGACCATAATTTGAACCATGTTATCCTCACTGAAAGTGGAGGTTGGGTCGTCTTTGGTCTGTCCGTGGAATAAGCCAAAGAGCATTAGCAAAAAGCCCAATTTTGTTTATTTGTTTTTATTTACTTAAAACATTTATTAGCTACCTTTCGGCCTTACGGAACTCAAGGTGGAAAGGGAGGCCATAGAATGTTCATGGAAACGTCACCTGTCATGTCACTGCCGTCGGTATGGTTGCCATCCCCCTGATGGGGGCGAGGGTTTACCTGCTTTCGGGGGCCCCAATTTATCGCCTCTCAGCTGGTCGGCAGGGGGAGCCCCACCCCCGAGCAGCCCCGTCCACGTCAACGTGCCCAGGACAATGATGTCACCCGAAGATGATGTCATCATGCAGGGCATGTTGTGAGGGGGGACACTCTAGCATTTGGAAAAAACACCTCTATGGTTACCATAGAGTTTTTTTCCCCTCAGGTGCACGTGATCGTGCAACCTCTGGGTGACATCATCGCGCTGGGCATGCTGGGGCAGACAGGACTGCTCAGGGGCGGAGCTCCCCCTGCTGGCCAGCCGAGCAGCAGCAGATTGAGCCCCCTGAAAGCGGGTATACCCCTTCCCCCGTTGGGGGGATGGCGACCCTACAGAGGGCAGCGACAGGCGGAGTTTCCATGAACATTCCATGGCCGCCCTCTTTCCTCCACAGTCTATCATGACCCCCATAAAAATAGTCTGGAAAGCCGGATAACCTTCTAGAGATGCTGCTAGAGGAATGAATCTGGACATTCCCGGCAAGCGCATGCAGGACAGTTTGGATCTTGGCCAGAGGACTAAAGTGGGACCTTTGGTCTGATCCAGCACGGCATCTTTGATGCTGTTATGCGCTTCTGCACAACCATCCAGTCAGTAATGACAAAGAAGAAGAAGAAGAGGAGGAGGAGGAGGAGGAGAATCGATTTATACCCCGCCCTTCACTCAGAGCGGCTTACAATCTCCTTTCCCTTCCCCTCCCCACAACAGACACCCTGTGAGGTAGGTGGGGCTGAGAGAGCTCTGACAGAAACTGCTCTTTTCCAAGAACAGGTCTTACCAGAACTACGGCTTGCCCAAGGTCAACCAGCCAGGTGCAAGTGGAGGAGTGGGGAATCAAACCCGGCTCTCCCAGATTAGAGTCCGCGCACTTAACCACGACACTCAAACTGACTACGAAGCTAAGCAGAAGTCGTCTCAGGTCCAAACGGCAGTTCTTACCTTTTCCATGTGATCCAGGTAGAAGTCAATAAGATCCTGCGGCTTGTTCCCTTCTTTCCATTTTGCCTTGTGGCTTTGGACCTCCGCCCTCACCACCTCATGCAGGAAGTCATTGTATTCCAAGACCCGCTGGTGGCGTCCTGGCAGACGGTGCATAAACCTTGGGAAAGCATCATACAGCTGCAGGCAAAAGGACATAATCAGGGGTCATTTCATAGAAAAAGAGGTGCAGGAGCTCATTAGCATAACTCATTAGCATAACTTATTTGCATATGCCACACCCCCTGACATCACCGGAAGTGTGTCAGAAGGCAACACCCACTGCTCAGGCTCCACTGGACTGTTTTGGATTGCTAGCTATGGGGAGGGGGGGGGAAGACACACGCAGATCCTTATGCTTCTCGTGGTCCGGGGCTGCTGGGAGCAGGGGGTGGGGCTTGTTGCATGTGCCCGCCCCCTGGGTACTTTACTGCCGGAGCTCTGCTCCTGTGCCACCCTGCAGGAAATGACCCCTGGACATAATGAAAGTGAGGAACAGCTCTTGGGGCCGGGGCGTTTGTTGGAGCAATCTGGAAAGATTCTTGAAGCCCTTCAATGGAGTGAGAGCAGACGGTTTGCTATCTTTCAGCGAGAAAAAAATCTCAGGGAAGGAAAGGGTTGATTCCCTCATTCCCGTACTGTTTGCCTCTTTGATAGCGCAATCCCAGAGGCTGCATTTCCAAAAGGGGGCAAAAAAGGAAAGCTATTCCAAATTTATTTATGTGCTTAAAATTTTATATCCCGCTTCTTCAAAGCGTGAAGCGGCTAGCAAAAATGGAAACGTATAAATCAAACAGTGTTGAAGTCAGCAGTTCCAGAAGAACCAGAACATCTAGCACTTCAGGACACATCTTGGTTCAGGCTTCATATCAAAACTTAGGCCTGAAACATGAGGGGGAAGAGATCGAAGAGAAACATCTGGGGTTTGTCACGAGAAAGTTAACGAGACTGACTTGGTGCCTTTGGAGAACGGAGACCAAACAGAGCTGCCCCTTTTGGTCATGGAATTCTGTCGATGCTTTTTTTGCAATTCAGAGAGGACACATCCTGTCATGAACTGCTTCTCTGCTGAGCCATTTATTGTCACAGATCCATGTCGAGATAAACTTCAGTAATCTGAGTTTTGTATTGGCTCAAGGGCCCTAGCCTAATGAAACCTTAGCCCTTAAGAAGTTTATCCTTCCAAAAGCTCCTGCCAAGATAATTGTCCCAAGATTTTAAAATAAATATTTACTTATTTAACTATTATTTATCTTTTATTGTATAAATATGAAACCATAGCATCCTTTTTGTTTGAAGTGAAAACGATAGCCTTATTCAGGAGATCTCTTCCACTGGACCTTAGAATTTGACCAATCCTTAGTCAAATTTCCTGGATTTGAAACAATCTAACACTAGTAATTCTGAGAGCTTTGGTCCATTGTTTTCAAAGATGAGAAAATAGTATTTTGTTGCAGCAATTTGCATATAATTGTATCTCCAAGAACTGTTCTGGTTTTGCATTATTTTTGTGTCTAAATTGCATTTTATTTCAATGTGTTGAGACCCAATTAGTCAATCATTTTATAAATTATTTCTCTATAAGATTCACATTGAAGAAATAATTTGAGATGGATCCTATTGCACATGCTGGTTTGCTGGATAAAGCCCTGTTACCTGTGTTGAAATCCCCCCCCCCCTTTTCTCGGTTTATCTGACTTATTTTTTTGTTATAGCTTTTATATTACACTGTGATGAGACATTAAATTTTACTAATATTTCCTATTAATAAAGAATTTTTTAAAAAGAAGATGTTTAGCTTTCCAGCCGTTTGCTGGTTAGTTACAGCAAGCCACGGTCTAATGGCCTAATCCTGTCATGGGTTACCCATGGGCTTGGCCCACAAAGACATTTGGAAAGATGCCTGACTACACAAGGAATAGTAACCTATGGTAACCAGGGCTATTTTTGGGCAGGAACGCACAGGAATGGAGTTCCGGCTGGCTCCCAAGTTGGCCACGCCCAGCAGGAACTCATTAGCATAATAGGCCACACCCAACAGCAGAAACTCATTAGGATTGGCTACATTAGGGGTGTGTGGCCTAACATGCAAAGGAGTTCCTGCTACAAAAAAAGGCCCTGGGTTTTGACAACAAACAAGGTAAACAGAATAACAAGCAAAAGGTGGGTGTGGCTGGATAACCACACTTCTGGTAACATGGGGGTGCAGCCTAATGTGCTAATGAGCTGTGCTGGCAGGGGTGTGGCCTAATA